CCCATCACTTATCTGTGTTTTCTGTCCAACTATATTTTTCTTCTTTATTATGTTAGTCAGGTGCTAAACAAATAAAATCAATTCTGAACTTATAAAAAGCAATTGGAAATGTCTAGTCTTTTATAGTGAAATCTCAACTTCAGCAGCCCACAGCACTTGGAGAAAAATCAATCATCATTTCCATCCTGCTACGTGTGCTACTAAAATTAAGAATTGATGTTCGGCTGCAAAGGAAAATTATTTCAAGAGAACCACCTTAGCAACAGTGTTCAGTGTTCATAAACCTCCTGTTTACAGTTCTTCTCATGGCAGACAAACTCCTACATCCCACCATGAAATATAAATAATAACGAGGGATCCTGATTTACATACAGTTTCCATCTTAATGGGCATCAAAACTGCAAGCAGGGCAACAGCACCACTTATGGTAATGGCAAGTAGTAAACATGTCCTCAGCCTAAAGGGGTCATAAACCAGTGTTAAGCACCCCTGTAATTGCAGCCTCTCCCATTTCCAAACCAAAGTTCAGCTGATTTTGCCAGTAGCCTTTCCATAAAGACAGAAAGCCTGGAATGGGGCACCTGAAGCAGCACTTAATTCTGATGCAGCCTAAATATTTCAGCAATGTGCTCTGCCCACATGGAAGCACCACTCCCTTCATCTTTGATTTATTGCAGCCCAGCCTATGTAACTTGTATGATATTATGTGCAGAACACATTCATACCTCCCAGAATAATCCACAATTAAAGCCATCCCTGCCTCCAAGTAATCTCCAGCCCACCAGCTCTATTTATTAATGAGCACACGGGTGATTCCATGCCATGGCAGCTGCTGTTTCTCCAGCAGCAGCAGCAGCAGCCTGGGCTGTGTGACACGCTGAGCACAGTGCTGTCCCCTCCAGTCCCCCTGGCTTCCCACAGACTTTTTTCAGCCCTTCTGTCGTGGGGTCTGTGGTGGCCACAGAGGGGTTAGTACTCAGCCTGTGGCTCTCAGGAGGTGCCTGGGAGGAGACAGCCCCGTCTGCCCCCCAAATTCACCTGCAGGGTGCTTGGCTGCCTAAAGAAATGGTAAGGAGAGTGATGAGCACTGCACCAAACACAGCTTTTTTAAGTTTTTCCCAACCAGTTTTGATCCAGCTGGCTCTGCCAGCCGTTGGTTTCTTGCCCATCAATCCCTGGATTCAGTCCCACTTACACCACCCTCTGTTCACCCCCTTTTTTGGTGTCTGATTAGTGCAATTAGCACCTGTGATGTTGCCTTCCCGAGACCACCTCCTCCCTGGCAGAGCATTCCCACCTTCCTGGCTCTCCCCGGGACCAGGACGGGGACACTGCTCCTGCCTCTGATGCCAGGAGGGGCACAGGCACGGCTCCGGCTCTGTCCAGTCCTGCTTTTCTCACATCTCTTTCAAAAAGATTGCAGTCAACTTTGAGAATTGAGTAACTGACTTTGATAGGGAAATTACTGATCCAGCATACAGCAAATAGCAGTGCTCTAGAACACTGTTAAATCCGAGTCTGGGAAATGAACTTTAATAAAAAGCATTCCAGTAATGTATTGTGACAGCTTTTAGTGAAATCAGCTCCAACAGTTTGATTCTCCCAGGAATACAGCAAGATACTCCTGCAGCCTTGAGCCATGGCATCAGCAAGCAGGCAATTTTATGATACATGGCCCCAGAAACCCAAATTACAGCTGCAGCAAATGAACAGTATGTTGAAAATTACTCGGTGGCTTTTTGCCTGGCTATCATTGCTGGTATCTGGGTGTGCACTGACACCTAGTGGGATTGCCCCAGGCTGGGAGCAGAGCGGTAAACTGGGTTATTTTCTTAAAGAGTATCAACAGCCAGCCCCTCTTGGGTTTTAAGACTTCTGTTCTGTTTTGGTGTGCAGCTTTTGGTTTTATATTAAGTGCTACTAGGATATTTTCACAAGGTGGTGAAGACAAAACAATCCTGTTCTAGCTGGAGACTCAAGGACAATCTCTTCAAACTTCAGGCCCAAAGCACAAACAATGTGGGAAGAGGAGGACAGGCAAGGAAGGAGGATAAAACTTCATCATTTGCAGCTATTAACTGAGCAGTTCACTCCTATATGCAAATGGACTAAAACTTTCACAAATGTGAGATCTCGTGACCAAGCCCTCTTTTGTTTCCATCTTGGAGCAATCTGGGCAGAGCCAGGACTGTGGCTCTGGTACTGCCAGGGTGTGGCCTTTGAAGGCACTTCAATAAATATTCACTTTATTGGATATTTATTCCATATTTATTGGATTTTTAAAATTGGATATTTATTCCTCTTAACCCTGTCCAGCCTCTGTTCCAGCTCCTCAAGGCATCATTCTTGATGCTAAACCTTCATGTCCATGGTGGTGGCTGGAGCTGAGTGACCTCTGGGGTCTTTCCCAATGCAAATCATTCTGAGTCTGAAGTTGCTGTGAGATTACAGTGTTGGGTTATTTGTGCCCCTTCATCTCCCACAAGCAAAGGGATTTAGTTGTGATTTCAAAATGTTGCACCTCTGCCATCTAAAGGGTTAGTTCATCACTTCTCTTATTTCTGCTCTCCCTGCCTGGGTCACCCCCTCTTCATTTATGGGCATAGGAGGGAAGAACAGCAGGGATTTGGTATGGATTGATCCAAGCCTAGAGGTGCAGGTGGAGGGATGTCACCATTGAGGCAGGATGGGAACAGGACTCCAATTCAGAAGGCTGGATAAAGTGAACTCCAGCTGATTTATTTCAAATGCATCACTCTTTTACAGAGAGCATCGTGCAGACCAATTTAATTGGTCCTAAAGTAAAAACATCTCACCATCATTGGTGCTCTGGGAATGATGCACGCTGGCAGAACAGATCTATAAACAATGGGAACAACAAGAGAGATACAGAATTATTTACATTCCTTTCCAACTCTTTCCCAGGCTCTAGCCTGGTTAGAAACTCTCCTGTCTCTCTGACTGAACTGAGAATACCCATAGAGGGAGAGCTCAGCCAATGGCTGTAATGCTGAAATTCACCACGCTGGTTAAACTGCAGGGTGCCAAAATCAGCATGACCACACTGGGAGCGCAGGCTGAGGAACCTTCCCTGGCGTGAGCCACATCTCACCACAGCATCCCAGAACGGGGTGGGTTGGAAGGGACATTAAAGCGCATCCCATCCCACTCCCTGCCATGGCAGGGACACCTTCCACTGTCCCAAACTGCTCCAAGCCCTGTCCAACCTGGCCTTGGACACTTCCAGGGATGGGGAATCTGGAATCCACAGATCCTCTGGGAGGTTATGGATAGCCCCAGGGGACTCAGTGCCCTCCCAGGGAACCAGGCTGCTTAGCCCGGTGTCTTGGACCCACCTCTGCCTTGAGACAGGAACACAGCACAGCAGAAGCCCAATTCCAGAGCAAGAGGGTGGCACCACTGCAGGAATCTCTGCACAGATTTGGGCACTGGTTTGATGCCTTGAGGAGCTGGAACAGAGGCTAGACAGAGTTCAGAGGAATAAAGTGGATATTTATTGAAGTGCCTTCAAAGGCAACACCCTGGCAGTACCAGAGCCACAGTCCTGGCTCTGCCCAGATGGCTCCAAGATGGAAGCAAAAGAGGTCCCATGTGGCAGCACACTTCTCTCTCACGAAGGATTCACACACAGACAGAAAGAGAAACCAATTTCTGTTTCTGCTCTTTGTTTTTCTCACGAGGAATGTGTTTGGACAATTGTTCACCTGGGGTGAGTGCTTTATTAGATTCTGGTGAGGATTGTTTGAGCCTGATGGCCAATCCAACCCACCTGGGGCTGGACTCTGGAGAGAGGGTCATGAGTTGTGAGTTATAGTTAGAACAAGTAGGTTTGTAGTTTTGAGTATCTTCCTTTATATAGTATATTAATGTACTTTAGCATAATTATAATAAAAAAATCATTCAGCCTTCTGAATTGAGTCAGACATTCTCATCTCTTCCCATCGGGTTTGCCTGCATTTACAACAGGCTTGGCCATGAGATCTCACATTTTTATAAGTTTTAGTCCATTTGCATATAGGAGCCAACTGCCCAATTAACAGCTTCAAATTATCAAGTTTCATCCTCCTTGCTTGCTTGCCCACCCTCCTCATGTTGTGTATGCTTTGGGCCTGAAGTTTGAAGAGATTGTCCTTGAGTCTCCAGCTAGAACAGGATTGTTTTGTCTTCACCACCCTGTGAAAATATCCTAGTGACACTTTGAAGTTAAAGCTGCACACCAAAGCAGAAAAACTTAAAAGCTAAGGTATCAGTTTCCAAAGCAGGTCCTGCTGCATCACACCAACCTCACCCAGAGCTGGGATTGAGTTACGGGCAGAAACAGCGTGAGGAAGGTTCGTCAGGAGAGCTGCTCACAGGCCAGCAAAACATCCTGGCCCATTTCCAGCCCAGCTCCCACAGGAGCGCTGCCAGGCACACGGCCTCGCCTTCCCGGGTGCCACCACCTCATTCCTACGGGAGCGCCACAGCACTCCTTATCTTTCTTTTGGGGCTTGGCAGCAGCACATAAAACACTGCCCTGCCGCTCAGCTCCTTCCTGCCATCACGACGACGACTTCCAGCCTCCGGAGAGGTACCGCAGGAAGCTCCCGCTTCTCTGCGAGCAGTCCCGGTGATAATCCCCGCGGTGAGGGCAGCGCAGCCCGGCCGAGGGGCCAGCAACACCCCAAACCCACAGAGCGGCCCCGCTGGCTCCGGCCTCCCGCGCCGCCCCGGCCCCGCCGCGCGGGGCGCTTCCGCCGGCGCGTGCGCCGAGCGCTCGCCGCTCCCATTGGCTGGAGGGGGCGGAGGGGCGGGGCCGGGAGAAGCGGAGACTACTTCCATTGGCTGGATGGGGTGGAGGGGCGGGGCCGAGAGAAGCGGAGACCTCTTCCATTGGCTGGATGGGGAGGAGGGGCGGGGCCAGGGCTGAGGCGGCCATGAGGGCGCTCGGGGCAGGGGGAGCGGGAGGCGGGACCGGGACCCGGTGAGGGACGCGGCTCCCGGTGAGGCTCCCGGTGAGGTGCCCGGCTCCCGGTGAGGGCCGCGGCCATGCGGCGGCTCCTCGGCCCGCTGCTGTGCCTCTGGGCGCTGCGGCTCCCGGCGGGCAGCGGCGCGGCCGCCCGCGGGCTGGACGTGGCTTCCTACCGGTGAGTACGGAGCGGGCGGTGCGGGGCCCGCCCGGGCCGGGGCTGAGCCGCCTGCTTGTGCCGCAGGGAGCGGGTGCGTGCCATGTTCTACCACGCCTACGAGCACTACCTGGAGAGCGCCTTCCCTTACGATGAGCTGCGGCCGCTGACGTGCGACGGGCAGGACACCTGGGGCAGGTAAGGGCTGGCCCCGGGCGGGGGTGGGGATGGGCCGCCCCCCGCCGCCGGGTCTCACCTCGCTTCTCTCCTCCGCAGCTTCTCCCTGACCCTGATCGATGCCCTGGACACGCTGCTGGTGAGTAGGAGCCAGCCCTGAGTGCCCGCAGCCTGCTCAAGGCCCCCGAGTGCCACCTGTACACCTGGATTTTATGTGGTGGTGCCAAAAGCCAGTTATTCATTGACTTGAGAACTGCATTTCCCTTTGCATCACGCCTGGGAGGGGTGGCAGAGCCCCCTTTTCCTGACACCCTCGGGAGTAAAGATCTAAAGTGCGTGAAAAAAGCTTTTTGTAACAAGATGAAACTGTCAGATTTTTAGTAATACCTGTAGTTAATGATTTCTCAAAATAGTAAAACCAACTAAAATCAGTCCCAGATATTGAACTGCTCTTTGTTTTTCCATGAACTCTAAGCCTTATTCTGTTTCCCTGCAGATCTTGGGAAATGTTTCTGAGTTCCAGCGAGTTGTCAACGTTCTGCAGGAGGGGGTGGACTTTGATATTGATGTCAATGCATCTGTCTTTGAAACGAACATTCGAGGTGAGGTGGGGTTTTCTGTGGGGTTTGTGTTGTGCTTCATTCCTGTACAAGTCTCAAAGGTGTGGTGAGGAGGTGGTGAGAGGGAATTTGGGATGCAGAGTAAGAGGACCTACAAACAGAGAGAAAAACCACAAACGTCACTTCCTTTCAGTCTTTGCACATCCCTTTTTGCTTCCTGTCTCAACACAAGCAGGAGTAGATGTGGCACTTTCAATATTCTGGTGTGAGGTTTTCAGCTTTGGAATAAATATATTTTTCACTGCAAGCATACAGATTTTATCCTGTAGTCTTCTGCGTGCTGTTTTGAAGTAGAGATTATAAATTTCTAGGATTATTCTTTCTTTTTGTCCTTGAAAATCACAAAGGCCTTTGGAGTTTTGCACCTTGAATGCCTGACTGCTTCCGTGCCATTTAGCTAAAAAACACAGTTTTTTTTTTTTAAGCAGTATTTTTTAAAGCTGTTAGTTATGCTTTTGTTGTTTGTCCTGCCAAATATTGCTGTGCCATTTTTTGCAGCAGTGGAATTTCTCTGTGGTTGTTATGTGACCATAGACAAGCCTGTGAAATAATTAATATTAGCTAATGTAGCTGTGTCAGCTATATAAGTAATAGCTAAATATAGCTAATAACTCATAGCTGCTGTCACATGGAAATTCTTGACTCTTCCTAGAAAAAAAGAAATACATCATAGAATCTGAGAGTGGTTTGAGTGAGAAAGGACCTTAAAGATCATCTATTCCAGCCTCTGCCATGGGCAGGGACACCTTCCACTGGCCCAAGTTGTTCCAAGCCCTGACCAGCCTGGCCTTGGACTCTTCCAGGGATCCAGGGACAGCTACAGCTGCTCTGGGCACCTGTGCCAGGGCCTCACCAACCTCACAGGGAAGAATTTCTTCCCAATATCCCATCTAACTCTGCCCTCTGTCAGTTTAAAGCCATCACCCCTTGTCCTGCCACTCCACACGTTTCTGCTGCCCTGCAAACGAGCAGCAAGAACCAAAATCTCTCTCCTCTGCCTCTCCTCTCCACATGGTGTAATGGATTCTGATGTTCTTGCAGTGGTGGGAGGGCTCCTCTCTGCTCACCTGCTCTCCAGGAAGGCTGGGCTTGAAGTGGAAGCAGGCTGGCCATGCTCGGGACCTCTCCTGAGGATGGCTGAGGAAGCAGCTCGCAAACTGCTACCAGGTGAGCCCTGTCTGCTGTGTGTCACTGTGCTGGGGATCAGGAGCTGCCTGCTGCCTGTCATGGGGGATGCACTGCTGCATGAGTCAGCTCAAAAACCAGTCCTGTGCTCCCTGAGCTCCAAGCTCAGTGCTTCAGGTTTAATTTGTAGGGAAGATGTTGTTGTATGTGAGCATGCCAAGTGCTGTGTCTGTTTAACACATCAGTGTGCTTGTTTCTTGTTGAGGGGAAGTATATTTAATATAAATAATAAATAAAGGCTGAGAGACAGCTTGTAAGACAAGAAGATGCTGCCTCATGTGCTCATTGTGGGCTGCAGCTGGGCTCTGTGCCCTTGTGGCATGGCACTGTTCCCTTGTGTGCACCCATGAGGTGATCACAGCCTCCCCTCCCTGTTTGCACTTTGCTGGCCAGTGTGTTTAGTGACCACCTTGCTTGTGCTGTAAAAAAATGTGGGGATGCAATCTGCTGCTCTGGCAAGGTGGAAGAGATCCCCAGGACTGTGTGTACCTTGGCATACCCTCTCTGACCCTCCCAGGATCACACTCTACTCATTTTGTTCTCTGCAGTTACTCCAGCCCCACTTCCTGCCCATGTGCACTGGCATGTGAGGCACGTGTTTGCTTGAGAGTCTGTTAAACACAACACTGAGAACTTCTGTGACCCCAAAATCCTGTGTTCCAGCTTTCCAGACCCCAACTGGGATGCCCTATGGCACAGTGAACCTGCTGCATGGAGTAAACCCTGGGGAGACCCCAGTCACCTGTACTGCTGGAATTGGCACCTTTATAGTGGAGTTTGCCACCTTAAGCCACCTCACTGGTGACCCAGTGTTTGAGGACGTTGCCAGGAAGGCTCTGAAGGCACTGTGGAAAAACCGCTCAGATATTGGGCTGGTGAGTGAGGAGTGCACTTGGGGTGTGCTGGGCAGCTTTTGCTGTAGCTTTGTGGATGCAATTCTAGGCATGAAAAAGCATTGACAGAGGGGAGACAGAGTTGGATAAATAACCACAGTGCTCCTAACTGGGCTGAGGGCTCGTGTTTGACATTGTTCCTGAACACCTGCAGCATCCACATCCCTGCTTTACTGCAGCAGCCCAACATTATCCCATTGTTTTGGCCCACACCAGATGTGGCTGGGAGACAAATGCCTCCTGCTGGGTGCTGCAGCTCTTGTGACAGCTGCTGTAGCAGATTAAATGAAAGGTCTGTCTGATGCCTGTGGGACAAAGGCCTAGGAAAGAGAACAAGAGCATGGCAAGTGCACTGAGATCTTACCAGCCTGTACAGCTCTGGGATTCAGGAATACCCAGAGCTGGGAGTATTATCTCCATGTTCACTGTCTCCTGCTCTTTTCTGTTGTTGCTTTTTCAGCCTCTGTGAAATGTTGGTGATACATATCTGAAGAGAAACAGACTCTGTGTTTATGGTCACAAATTATCCACAGGCTGTATGAAGAAATTCTTCCCTTTGTTTGCTTTGGAATTTGTTTATTTTTGATTTATACCCCAAATCCTCAATCATTGATGGCTTTTTTTGACATTTGCTAAGACACGGTTGTGTATTTAATTGTCCATCAGCTAGGTTTGTTCAGAGGCTAAAGAGTGCCAGCATCTATTTAAATATTAACATGGCAGCTCTTGTCACTTTGACATTCTTGGCCTCTGTTTCTGTATCTTCACCTCTCCATCCTTCCCTACTCTTTTGTAAGATCAGAATTAGGATCAGACATTCCAAGTTGAAATTGTGCATTTTTACAGTAGTATATATGTTGTTTTGGCAAGTGGAGCATTGGTATTGGAATCATAAAATGTTTATTAGATATATAAAATACATTATCAGCATGAAGATTGTATTTTCTACAGTTTGCATATAAGCATAAGAGTTGTATTTTCTACAGTTTGTATTTCTCTGATGCTGATAAATGTGTCCTGTAATGGAGAAAATGCTGGTTGGAATGGACATTGTATATCTGTGAAACTGATGATCTGAAAAAAGGACCAGGATTTCTTGTGTCTCTCTAAGTCCTTTCTCCTTGTCCTTCACTCCTTCCAGGTGGGGAACCACATTGATGTGATCACTGCCAAGTGGGTGGCCCAGGATGCTGGGATTGGGGCAGGGGTGGACTCCTACTTTGAGTACCTGGTTAAAGGAGCCATCCTCCTGCAGGACAAGGAGCTGATGTCCATGTTTTTAGGTGAGTGTTTTCTGTGGGAAGGGGCCCAGCACCTGTGCCAGGACATGAAGGATCTAATGGGGCACAGTCAAGACTGTTCTGAAGGCTTTGCTGTAATTCTTTTAAACAGTCAGTGATAACAAAGTGAGCACCCTGAGAACTCATTGAACGTGGCTCAAGTGAAAAAGGGGCTTCTCTCATTCTTAAAAATAAGTGCTTTTTCTGCCTTTTTTTTTTTTTCTTTTTGTTACAGATGGCTTACCTACCCATCTGTTTCTTTACAGAATATAACAAAGCTATCAAGAATTACACCAAGTTTGATGACTGGTACCTGTGGGTTCAGATGTACAAAGGAACGGTGTCCATGCCTGTGTTCCAGTCCCTGGAGGCCTATTGGCCAGGCCTGCAGGTAAGGGCTGTCATACCAGCAGCATCTAGTGATTCTTTCCTCTTTCAGGGGCTGGTCTTCAAGAAGAAAGTTACAAATATAACCCTCATCTGTGCAGCTTTAAAAGTTTGGTTTGTTCTCTGGTTAAATCTGCAATAGCCTGAGCTTATGATGACATTGAAGAAAATGTTGATTTTATCTACAGTCTCCCATTGAGCATAATGGGAGGGCACTTTTGTGGTAGCAAACTCCACTGGACAGTGGTCCCATAATCCAAATGGGAATGTGAAGAAAAAGAAACTCACACCTCTATCACCTCACAAGTGTTTTATTTGTGTGAATTTTTTCCCATCAAGAGCTTTGCTTTCTCATCAGTCTTCTTGTTTGGACTGAGACTTTGTTTCCCTAACTAAGAGATTTGATGCTGTGACTGACTATAAACACTTGACTGAAGAAACACAGCCTTCTTTAAAAAAAATCAGTCTTCATAGTATTTCAGGTATGGGAATGTGATCCACCAGAAAAGCAGCATTTTCAGTCTTACCTGTTAAGGCATCGTGCTCAGTATCGGTTGCAGCACTCAGACCTGCTGAAATACCCATTTCTGTCACTGGGTATTTCTTTGCTTAGAGCAGTGTTATTGCATCAATTCCTGTGCTGTTTTTTTTCACTCCCATGTTTCTTTGCTGTTTCCTGTCTCTCAGAGCCTCATTGGGGATGTAGATAATGCCATGCGCACCTTCCTCAACTATTACACTGTCTGGAAGCAGTTTGGGGGCCTGCCTGAGTTCTACAACATTCCCCAGGGATACACAGTGGACAAGAGGGAAGGATATCCACTCAGGCCTGGTAAACAAAACTGAAATTAAAAGGGACATGAACTGCTTTAGCTCTGGTTGGGAGGTCAAATCTTAGCAACACCACAATTTCATCCCCAGTTTTGCTCTGACTCAGTTCCTGCAGGGGGTTGAGCTGGGATTTCCAGAGTTAAAGCTGCACATTTTGTTTCCCCCACTGACAAAGACAGGAAGGAAACAGGAAGCAAACCATAGTGTCACTATAGAAAGGTAGACTGGTAATGGATTTTGTTCGCAGTGTGGGATTTGACATGTTCAAGTGTTAGATTGTCTGGCATGGGGTGCTTCAGTCATGTGAAATGTTAAAGGGACTACTTGTGTCCTTTAAATTTAGGAAGTGAAAGTAAGTGTGATAGACTGTTCCAGTTCTGCATCTAGGAGGAATTCTGTGTTGTCTGTGATACTGTAAGGAAATTGCTTGTCTTTTTTTCTCATTTTTTACAACTCTGACCAAAAAAAAACAAAAAAAAAAAAATAACCTGATTAGTGTGTCCATAAATGTAAATGAGAATAATTAATTTTCTTTTGGTGTGAGTGTTCAGGTGACATCCACACTGGACAAATCTACCAAAAATACTCATCAGCCCTAACTATCAAAGGTGTTTAAGTATAAAGACCTGTTCCTTTAGTAAGTAAACACAGCATGGTGCTTATGTCGTCTGTATAGAGTATTTGCACTCTCTTATTTAAAAACTCTATTTTGAGGATTAAATTTCTTGTTTGTAATCCTTTCCAGAAGCATTTTTTTTTTAACTTTGACAACTGAGTATTAATCTTTTTGTCTCGCTTCTCTCCCACTCGCTGAACGTGGGAGTGAGCATTAGTCACTCTTACCTGAGCTGCTGCAGGCTGGTTAGAGGGAATTTCTTTGTAGCACATCCTTGGGAAAAGGAAAATCTGTGCTTGGAGCCAGCCAAGCCAGCCTGTTCACCTGATTATGCTAAAGTATTTTTAAATTAGTTCAAGGAATAGCTCATTTTCGCTTTGTGCATGGTTTGATAATCTTTGTGCTGGCAATGTTTGGGTGTTTTGCAGAGCTGATTGAGAGCGCGATGTATCTGTACCGTGCCACGAGAGACCCCACACTCCTGGAGCTGGGGAGAGATGCTGTGGAGTCCATAGAGAAAATCAGCAAGGTGGACTGTGGCTTTGCAACTGTGAGTGCTAGATCATCTGCTGATCTAAAAATCAGCTTTCAGAAGGTGTTCTCATGAGTGATATTTTGTCGTTAATTCAAGAAGTCATTTTGAGCAAAACATTATTTTTTTCCAACAAGCCCCTTGTATTTCTCTGTGAAGCTGCTCTGTCATGTTTCTGGTTGTAGCTTCCTCACAGTGGGCCAAATTCCATCATGGGCTGTTGCCCCAGAGTCCAAAATATGGGAAAGCACCAGAAGCTTCTCCTACATTTCTAGTAGGTGTTGCAGCTGAGCAGGAAAGCTCTCGTGCAGGCTTCTCCTGCCAGGTGTGTGATGCTGCTTTCCCACTATGCCTTGAAAATCTGGTGAAACACACTAAAAGTGCAGTGAGTAATTTCTGTGAAGCTATTCAATAGAGGATTTCAAACATGATATCGAGCTCTGTTTTTCAAAAAACTCTTTAAAAATATTGGGAGTAAGTAGGTAAAAGCCTTATAATTTTTTTTCTTTAGTGGGGGAAATGATGGGAATCTCTTCTCCTTGCCCAGACTGAACTGAGGGCGCGTTTAAATGTTAGGAAGAGATTCTTCACTGTGGGGGTGCTGAGGCCCTGGCACAGGTTCCCCAGAGAAGATGTGGCTGCCCCTGGATCCCTGGAAGTGTCCAAGGCCAGGTTAGAGGGGGCTTGGAGCAGCCTGGGATAGTGGAAAGTGTCCCTGACCATGATGGGGCATGGAATGAGACGGGCTTTAAGGTTTCTTTCAACTCAAGCCATTCTGTGATAAGATACAGGGTGGATTGGTGTCATACTGTGCTGCTTAACTCAAATGGATTCCAAATTGGTTTTATTTTTCTCCCTAAATTCATAACTTACTGATTTTGATGTAACTGTAACCCACTGTTTCTTGTCTTGTAGATCAAAGACTTGAGGGACCACAGGCTGGATAACCGCATGGAATCCTTCTTTTTGGCTGAAACAATCAAATACTTGTACCTGCTGTTTGACCCAGACAACTTCATCCACAATGATGGCTCAGACTTTGATGTGGTGGTCACACCGTACGGGGAATGTGTTCTGAATGCAGGAGGGTACGTCTTCAACACCGAGGCTCATCCCATCGACCCTGCTGCCCTGCACTGCTGCAGGAAACGCAAGGAAGAGCAGTGGGAGGTGGAAGATTTGATGAGGGAATTCTACTCACGGAAGAAAACCAAGAAATTCACTTTAAAAAGAGCTCCTGACCATGGTGAAGGAGAAGATGCAAAGGACCCTGAAAATGCCTCTTCAGAGAAAGCTGGAGAGAAGAGAAACTCTAAGAAAAGCTCACACTCCCTCCTGAGCTGCCCCAGTCAATCTTTTAACTCCAAGCTTGCAGTACTGGGACAGGTCTTCCTAGATAACACCTGATCCTCTTTGCATCATCAGTTTAAATTATTGAACTCGTTTCAGATTCTGGGAATATATTTTTATAGTTTCATAATGGAAAGTGTGGTACCTCACAATGTGAATTTGATTATGAAGTGAAACAACTTCCCATTAAATTCTGCTACTGCCCCTTTCTAAGCCATGGCTCAGATACCAGCTGTTAATGCTGTCGAGCTGCTGATCTCAAAGCAGTTGGTTGTCTGAATATCAAAAAGGTGTCCAGAAACAGAAAGGTCTACATGTTAAATGTACCTTTCTTATTGCATTTTTTGAGTCTTACAGGCTTACAGAAAGATACTTTGTTCTAAAAAAAGGAGCCTCAATGTCTTGTCATAAGGAAAGCAGGAATTACTGTAGCTTTACTACATCTCTCTGTGTACTCCATCTTTTATCTCTGGCCACTTTATAAACATGTAATTCATATTGAAAAATTGCTGCCCAGTGGAGAAAACTTGTTGCTCTGGCAGTTCTGTTGGAGGGATGGTGTCGGGGGAGAGGAACACTTGAAACTGGGAAAGTGCTCAGTGTCCGTTTCAGATCAGTGTGGGTCAGTACCTCCTGCCTGAAAACCACTTTAGTAAATGTCCAGGTAATGTCTGGACAAAAAACCGAGCTGGAGGGTGGACTAGGAAATGCTTGATTCCACATTGTAGCTTTGCTTTCTTTTTAAAGAATCTAACATGCTTCTCTTTGATTTTCCCATTTCCTTCCTCTTTCTAACTTCCCTTTGGGCCCACGTGTTTCCCTGCACCTCGGTCAGTGCAGCCACCCTGGGGTGCCCCAGCTGAGCTGAACACGAGCCACGCACAAGGCTTGGGTGGAAGGGGGCTGAGCCCAGGCTGAAATTGCAGCTGAACAGATGTTCATGAACCTCTCAGTGTTAGCTGACTTGGCACATCCAAACCTTTAAATACATCATTAGTGTCTTTGCAACAGGTGTGTGCAGTGACCAGGAAAGGAGGAATCGGTGTGGCCAAGAGGTTTTCTTTCTAAAGGAAAAACAAAAAGAGGGGCAGAAAAGTGATGGAGTTTCTTCAAGCCTGCTGGAAAGTGAGGAGTCTAGAGCAAGCTACAATTATTTGAGTGGGTTAGAGGTACAGGATAAATAAATCCCTGTGAGCAGGGAAATACTTAAATACAACTGGACCAGTGCCCACTCTGTGCTGCTGTGTGGTTGCCTTGACAAAGTAATTTTTTTTTTGTTGTTTTGACCTGTACCAATGCTGTAAAGTTAAATAAAATTTGCATTTTATCCTTCGGGGTAGAAATCCTGGTGCAGTTGTGTGGTAAGAGACACTTGCAGTGTTGGACAGGCATATTGAAAGGACTGGTAAGCTACAGAGCTTTTGGTTGTGTCCTTATTTCCCATGGCAGCTGAGGCAGTGCGGGAATTCTGCACTGACACAGCCCTTGCAGCCCTTCTGAGAGTGGAGTACCCAAAAACAGGCATTGTTGGGCAACGATGAAGCTCTTGTTAGTGGCTCCTTGTTGTCACCATAGATTATCTTTTTATGTTCCAGCTGTTCACATCTCATATGCTCTTCATTGTTTGATGTGCAGAAAACAAACCCCAGGCCTTCTCCAACAGCTTTGCTCAGTGCTGGGTCAGGTCCTGAAAGTCAGCATTGTCCCAGCTGTGAGGTAGAGGAAAACAATGGGACAGGGCAGATCTCCAACTCATGAGATCCCTCCTGACCAGGGCGCTTTGGTACCCTCATCAGGAACTTCCAGCAGCACAACCAAGGGGCTGTAGGCTGGGGAGATCAGGTTGTTCCTCAGCGTGGTTGGAGCTAAGAGAACTCATCTGTCCACGGCTACTGTGAGTAATTAAATGGATCTTGATTAGATTGCCAGATTCATCTGAGTGGGAAGGCACCCACAGGGATGATTGAGTCCAAGTCAACGGCCAGGCAGGAACTGAAACTTTGGTATTATGACCGACTGAGCTAATCTTAGTGCTGTGGGCTGAGTGACTCGGAACAACACAAACAGCCTCACCTGTTCCTTGTTCCAGTGCTGTTCCATCTCAGAAACCCTGTATTTGAACATGTGATCGGAGTCCTCGGTGAGCTTTTCCTCAAACGGAGAACGGCTGGGCCTTGCTGAGTGAAATAATGGCATCCCAGTTGTTATAAGTTGAGGCGAATACTTTGATTCAGCCTTTTAAGATCAATTAATAATTTTATTAATTACAGCAAGCGATAGCAAGCAAAACAGCGCTGGGTTCAGCTGGGAGCCTGGCTCCGCCAAAAGCTGACAACCTTTCCTTCTCTTCAGTCCCTTTTTATCTTGCATGAGTGGGGGTGATGAGTCTCGTTCCACCGTGGTTATCAGTCCCAAAAACAATGGATTTCACAAGTGGGGTGGTGTGTCTCCTTCCACTGCGGTTTATCAGTTTTCAGCAACAATGGGTTTCCACTGCGGTTATCAGTTCCAGCCAGTCCTGCAAAATCTTTCACAATCTTTGTTTGTGGTTACCAGTCAAGCCTGTAAATTCCATGTCCCGACTTCCCCCCCTTTTATCCCCCCCTTTTATCCTAATTTCATGCTTTTGATGAACAAACGAGTCAATGCAGTTTCTCACACCAGTGGCGGCAGAG